TTTTTTTTTTTTTTTTTTTTTGGTACCAGGGATTGAACTCGGGTCCGCCACCGAACCGCTCAGCTAAATCCCTGGCCCCCACAGCCCTCTATGATTTTAGAAATGATTTTATAGTCTCACTCTGGATTTAACTCTGGTGTCCCTTCTGAACTTGAGGATTTGGGAGAGGCTGAGTGAAGGCAAGGTGATCAATCGGTCCTGGGGTGCGCTGTCCCCATCAGTGGCTAAGTAGCTAAGGCTGGGGAGGGGGAGCCGCGCTGGAGGAGGTCACTGAGGCGTAGAGGGTTGATTCTTGCCCCCAGCTCCTCCCTTCTCTCTCTCTGCTTCCTGCCTGCCATAAGGCGATCATCTTCTCCTCTGCCAGGCCCTCTGCCTTCCTGCTCCTGCCTTGGAGCCAGCCCACCATGGACAGAAACAGAGTCCACACAATCCCCACCCCTGTTGGGTGTTGTGTCCCATGACAAAGTGACGGAGACACTGGGGACAAGAAGGAGTTCGTCACCGAGCCCAGGAAGCATTGACCCCTTTCCATGGGCAGCTGCTTGCCTGCTCTCTCCTTGCCTTTTACCAGCAGAAAGCCGCCCCGCAGCAGTGTGTGCTGTGCAGAAGCCTCCTCTGCAGAGCTTTCGTTTCGCCAAGTAACACTGAGTTTTCACTTTCCATGCCTGCCGCAGCTGACACCGCTCTAGAACTCTCTGCCACTCTAGGCTTTTGCAGCGGGACACTGGCCCCTCACGGCTTCCCTGCAGCTGATTCTGTCCGGAAGGGGGATTTGGGTGAAGCACTTCCGGGGGCCTGACCCAGGACTCACGCGGGGCACCTGCGTGTCTCTTGCCTTTCCGGTCTCATCTCAGGCTGACACCAGTGTCTCACTGTGTGGGTTTGCTACACAAAACTTGTGTGAACTCTGTGTGTCTTCACTCGCCAGTGCACTATGACATGCGGGAGGCTGAGTCAGGCGGCTCTCAGCACCTTGTACTGTGACACCATTGGTCCTCTCAGAGCTCCCAGGCAAGTTGAGTCGACTGCCTTGAAGGTGTTCTGTGGTACTTGGAACCAAACCTTGGCTCTAACAGTGACTGGCTCTGAGACCCAGTCAAGCTTTGGCCTCTGTCCCAGCGTGAGTGATGCCCTGGGCCTCCCAGCTCTTTGCCTTCCCTTCCTCATCTGTAAGATGGGGACAGCAGTGCTATCTCCCTGCAGGGCTGTCGGGATTAAATGGAGAAACACAGGTTAGGGCTTCCCGAGGAACCTGGCAAAGAAGCAAGTGCTCACTGAACCTCAGCTGCAGCTGCTAAGGGTCTGACCTTGCAGTGGGATCCGGGCCTTGAGGCTCCTGGATCATATGGCAAAGGGACCCCAGGTGGCCACCCTGTTCTGCCCTGCCCTTGGAGGTGCTCCTGCTATCAGGGATGCACTCCCGGGGGCTGTGGGGAGGGAGCTGGTCAGCAGCCTTCCTGCCTCCTCTCTGCCCTAGGCCTGCAGGACAACCCCTGGCTGTGTGACTGCCGCCTCTCCAGGGCTTTGGAGCTGGCCAAGGCTGCGGACCCCGCCCTGGTGCTTCTCGACCCCCTTCTGGTCTGCAGTGGGCCAGAGCGCCTCGTGGGGATCCCGTTTCAGCGGGCGGAGCTGGAGCAGTGTCTGAAGCCTGTGGTGATGGCCTCAGCCACCAGGATCACGTCCACCCTGGGCAGTAACGTCCTGCTGCGGTGTGACGCCACGGGCTTCCCCACCCCGCAGCTCACATGGACGAGGGACGGCTGGCCTGTCAATGACACAGGTACCAAGCTTGCTGGGCCCGCGAAACGAGGAGTCCTCAGAAGTCCCAGCGTAGTCTTGTGTTTTCGGGCAACTCGAAGTGGCTGGTTGGTTCCAGGGAAACACACCAAGGCTGCAGGGTGTGCAGGCTGTGGGGTCTTTTGCTGTTGTTGCTCTGCAGGGCTAGAGATGGAACCCAAGTCTTCAAGCTGGCTAGGTGGTGCCCATACTCCCCTGGACTCGAGGGACCCTGTGGTCTCTTCCTTTCATGTAACTACCTAGACAGTCTCACACGACCTGGTCTCTTTTCTTAGGTAGAAAGCAACTTGCCACAGTAAATGGATGATTGCTCACAAGGTCTGTTCTTCTCAGATGCAGCTTAGTTTTCACTTAGGAGGCTGAGACAGGAGGATCACCTTGAGTTTGAGGCCAGCTTAGGCTACGTAATGAGTTCAAGGCCAGCTTGAATTATACAGCGAGACCCTGTCTCAAAAAATCAAACAAACAAAAAACACAAAAAACTAATCATCAAAAACTTTTTGTAAAGGGACTTTCATACACATTTCTTTCTTTTGAGTAATTGTGTAAATAATAAATTACACAGAAACCTTATTATGAAGCAAAAAGTACAATTTCCAGAAATTCCAGTTACAGACTCTGCAGAGCTGTCCTGACCAAGCGTGGGCTTCAGCCTCGGTCTCCACAGCGAGTCTCATGACTGAAGGGATCTATACTTAAAACTCCTCAGCATTAAGTGTAAGTTGAGATTCTAAAATAAAACTCGATGGACTAAAAATATTAAGGCCTAATATTTCTGCCTCCAAACAGCCCCGAGTTTAAGCCTGAGTTAATTTGGGGCTATCCTGGCACGTACATTATTAATCCTCAGAAAGCCTCTAGAATCAAAACAGAATGGAAATTTGCTCAGATTTTAGTGTTTAGGAAAGCAAAATTCCAATTTTGTAAAAACTAAATAAGCTGAAACAAAAAAACAACCCCATAGTTTGCCTAGGTTAAGTACACAACGAATAACTTCAGATACACACGATGACTCCTCCATGCCAGGAAAAGGTCTGCTGTGCCCAGGTCTGGGGTGGATGCGTTTAATTACAGCCACAAGTATCCCGAGAAACACTTGAGTGAAGTCGCGCAGTGAACATCTTGCAGCATTGGTTGGGATGGAAAGGGACCTTTAAGGTTTCCTTGTCTTGTTCGCCCATTTTACAAATGCAGAAGTGGGTCTGCACATGCAAACCGAGCTGTCGAGAATCAGGTGGTTTTTAGTGGAGCTCACTGAACCCGGCTCTCCTGAGCTCCGTCCCCACATCCTTTTAAAAGGCCACTCCCTGTGCAGCTCTCGGGACCCAGAAGGCCCAGGCTTCACACAAACCCTTTGCAGACCGCGCCCTCCGCCTGACGCCGTGCAGCACCGGTTCCCTGGCGGTGGCGGACGGATGCCGGCAGGACAGAGAGCTGTTTCCTCCTCAGTGGCCCTGTTGCTCGAGCTTTCCCTTTGCCCTCCCAGAGCACGCATTTGCTTTCTTGCAGTAATCCAGGAATCTCCAGGAGACGGAGTCAGATGGTCCATCGTGAGCCTGGCAGGCATTTCTTACGAGGATGCTGGGGATTACAAATGCGGGGCCAAAAATTTGGCTGGGATGTCGGAAGCCGTGGTGACCGTGACCGTCGTTGGTGCTGCCACAACCGCCCCGTCACCAGGCACTTCTGTCGGCAGGAAGGGAGGTCACCCTGGGCAGCAGGTCCAGCAGGGATCTGGGCCACCGAGGTCCACACACGCACCACTGTCGCCTCCCCAGTCCGCTGTCCCCTCCCCTCCCACTTCTGTTCCTGCGTCCACTTTCTCTCCCCCCTCCTCTGTCTCCTCCTTGTCTCCCTTCTTCTCCATGGCTTCCGTAACAACCCTGGGAAGCGGCATTTCCTCAGCCGCGGCCGGGGCCGGCCGGCCTTCCCTGCAGCTGCCCACGGATGGGAGAAGCAGCTTGGAGGCGGGTTTGAAGGCAAGTGAGCGCCCCCCGGCCGGTGCCCACAGGAGAGAGGAGCTGGCCCTCCGGGGACGCGCCCCCAAGGAGACAGATGCCACCGTAGAGGACCTGAGGGTGGTCAGCGAGACGGAAGACAGCGTGACCCTGACGTGGCGTACTGGCAACGCCACGCGGCCCTCTGAGTTGACCGTGCTGTACTGCAAGTATGGCGAGAAGGACCTGATGCAGCTGCACGCGGACGCTAGCGACAACCAAGCCACCATAGAGGGCTTGGAGCCCGGCAGGCAGTACGTGGTGTGCGTGTGTCCCAGGGGAGCGCCTGCCCAGAGTGACCAGTGCGTCACCTTTGCCACCGACAGAGCAGAGGACCGTGACTCCCACTGGGTTTTCCTCATGGTGGTGACTGCTGCTGCCTGTGCTGTTGCAGGGCCATTGATTTGTTTTTTACTGTATAAAGTTTGCAAACTGCAGTGTAGCTCAGAATCTTTCTGGGACGATGATTTGGTCGGAGAGACCTACGTCCGGTTTGAGACGCTGTCACCCAGGTCTTTGAGCACAGGGGAGCACTGGGCACGAAGTCACAGAGAGGATTCAGAGAAACTGCTGCTGTGCTCTAGGGCGAGTGTGGGCTTGCAGGCAGCTTTCAAAAGCGAGGGCCGCAGACCAGAGTACTATTGCTGAGGTCTGCGGCTGGGTGCTCCCAGGGCTCAGGTGACCCCATTTGGGGGGCTTTTGGACAAGCTTTCATACCCTACACGAAAAACACAAATGGAGTGTTTTTCAAGAAAATATCGTGACACTTCAGAACTGAAAAGAGAATGATTTCTCTTGCGTGGAGGAGTCCAAAGAAATAATTTCTAGAGTGGTGCTTCATAAATTGTCAATGATTTTTAGGCTAATTCTTAAAAATAAGCTCATGGGAAGATAGTTACAGCAAGTGGGCTTTGCAGTTTAAAACCAGTGGACAGTGGAGAAAGAGTAGAATAAGCGGCCAAGCCTGGATGTTCGCTAGCGAGCCCAGTGCTCTGCAGAGGTCGCTGCAGATGTTGGTTGCCGCTGCCTGGGACAAACGTGGAGCCATGAAGAGCTCAGTGTTTGCAGGGGTCTAAGTGCATCTGATGCAGAGGGGCGGGTCTGTGTCTGTGGATCGTTGTGCATTGTGACCCCAGACAGTCATGTTCATAGTTCATGTCAAAACATTTTTACATGCCCTAGAAATATGGGTGTAAGTGAAAATGAGATTAAAAAGCTGAATCTGTTATGCCTCATATATAGGATATACATACTTTTAACACATGCTGAGAGTTGTGTTAAATGCGAAGTAATGTGCTAGTTTTAAAACAATATCTTTCATATTTTGATATTTGTTCTTTTTTCCCTCTTTGTCTTTACCCTCTTTCTTTCCTCTTCTTTTTCTTTTTCTTCAATTTCTTTGGTCAGAAGATGTACAGAAAGCCAAAGGACTGCAAGCTAAGCTGTGTTTTTTTTTTTTTTTTCCTTTGCCACATTGTATTTTGACTCTATAGGCAAAGATAATGCCTCTGAAATGACTAACTACCCTTTGAAAGTCTTTTTTTAAGATCCCTAAAGGTTATTTTAGGAGTTTGAAAGACAAACTCCAGTGGATTCATTTGGTCAAGATTTTATCCTGGGTTGAAAACATCAGGGGAAATGGAGGAGGTTAATGAGCACCGAGGAGAGAGGTCCATAGGTCTATTCAGGTTTTTTCTAAAGAGGCTTTTGTTGGCTGTGGGAGACTGTAAGATCGCAGCCAGTAAGAGTGACGGGAGGCAGGTGGCCTCTGGAGCATCACAGGGTGATGTGTGGGGTGACCACCTGGGGCTGCGGAGGCCAAGCCACCTCGGCACAGAGGCCGCTGTCGGAAACCTTAGGATGAGCCAAAGCTTGCGAGAGCTGAAACCCTCTCTATGGAAACAGCCAGCAAGTGGCGGAGACCAGACCCCGGGGACCCAGAGGGGAAGGTGCCATAGCCCCAGGTGTGTTCTCTGGCTCCAGACCCTCGCCGGCGCCACCCCGGACTCCCCACCCACCCCATCCCTTCCTTGCCTCTGGTCTGCGTCCCTAGCAGGGCCAAGCAAACTCCCTGGGCATCAGCTGGCTGAGACACACCCTTGAAGGGAAGCTAACCGGGACCCCCAAGACCCTCGCACTTCAGACCCCGGCCGTGAGGGTGGGGCTGTGGAGCCCGGGTCTCTGGGAGAAGCCGGCGAGGGCTGTAATCGCCCCAGAGCGCTGGGGTTTGTGCGCTGCCCTCCGCCTGTGGCTGCTTCTCCGTGCTTCGTTTGAGCCCTTGCTGTGGAGATTGTCGCCGGAGCTGTCCTGCACCCCTCCAGGAAGGGGACTGGCTCCCTAGGAAGTTGCCTCAGCCTGAAGAGCAGCTGCTGGCTGGCGTCTCCAGTCCCAGCGCACACTGCAGCCTCTGGCCCGAAAGGACCTGGCCCCACGGTACTGCAGACCAGAAGGCTGAGGCAGAGCCCTGCTGCAGAAACTCACCTGTGGTCCGCCCACATGGTCCACCGTGCCTGACGCCCACTGCAGTCACTTCCTCCCCTGTCCCTGTGCGCTCTCTCTGTGAGACAATGTGGCTTCTCGAGGGCTGTGCTACCCCTGTGTGCCCGCTGGGTGCAGCCTGAAGCAACTCAAGTCACTCTGTCTGGGGATCCTGAGGCCTGGGAATGACTGGCACCCCGTTACCACCCAGGCCCACCATCTCCACAGTGGGCTTGGACAGGAACCACCTCTGGGCCTGGCTGGGAACCCAAAGCCTGCTCAGGGAGCTGACGGGGGAAGGAGAGAGGTGCTGCGGGGCAGAAAGCGGTCTGCAGCTCAGCTCGCAGGCCAATAAATGCAGCGGCGGGATTCTCTCCCTAGAAGTGGAGAGATGGGTTCCTCACCCGAAGATCCTGTGAAGCTCACACCAGAAGCACAGCTGTGGACAGGAGCTGTCCCCATTCACTGCCTGCTGTGGTGGCTGCTGGTGGCCGGGGGACAGCATACCCAGCCCGAGCCTCCTCACGTCAAGGGCAGAGGGAAGCCTCACTCCACCAGGGAGTGGTGAGAATGACCAGGGCAGCAGGTTTACCCAGCCGCTGCCCCGCGGCACAGGGGCCCCTTGGGGAGGTCTCCCGGAGCCACGGCTTGGCAACGCTCTCTGGCCGTGACCCGGCTCAAGTCCGGGAGGCCATGATCCGTGCAGAAGAGCTTCTGTCCCTCACGCAAGGCTGCGCAGTCACTGCCTGTGCGCCCTATCCATGGGCATCTTCTGGAAGCACTCGGAGCGGCGACTGTGCTCGGCAGTCTGCTAGGATGGAAAGATCTGTCTTGCTGACCTTCAGGGCCAGGGCCTTGCATCCATGCCCTCGCCTCCAGGGCACACAGTGGTCTTGCTGTCCCATGGCTGGCAGCTGCTCTGCAGTTGGTCAGTACCAAGCCTGCTACCACCGAGTCCTTCACCTCCTTCCTGTCCTCCTGCGGCTGCTAGTCCAGGCCCAGAATGCTCACTCAGACCGCTCACTCTTCCACACCAGCGTGGCTTCTCCAGACTGAGTCACTGGTGACTGGACAGTGGGGTCCCTGGCAGTCTCCACTGCAGGGTCATTCCAAGCAGCCTCAGAGCAGCCGACCTCCTGTCCAGCTGGGGCACTGTTCCCTACCGATGGTCCTGTACACTGAGTCAGGTCCTGGTTACTCCCTGTCACCTGTTCTTTCCTCACTGTTGGGGAGACTGGTTCAGCTGAGCCCTGCTCAGTGTCTGCCCTGATTTCCCTGCTGGACACTGGACTTTGTCCTCTCTGCCTGGGCAGTGCAGCTCTGACCCAATTGTCTGAGGATGCTGCTGGTTCCAGTCTTACCACCACAGCCAACCCTGCCGCAGGACGCGCTAGTGATTAGGGCACCTGGATAGCCATTGTTGTTACATCACTGCCTCCTGGCGTCACACTGGCCTTGGTACCTGTCCTTCACACACTGTGGGCCCACTCACCCCTTTCTTGGATCCTAGAGTCTGGTAGGGGTGGAAACTGCTCATGCTCTGGGCCACAAACATCTAGCAGGCAGTGGTGTGGCCACCATGATACTGCTTATTTCCTTTATCCTGAAGATGTTGGGGTCTAGAACAGATTTCTAAAGCAGTGTCAGGAGTCCTGAAGTATTCTGAGATGCAAGTTCTAAAAAAATACATTTTGTGTAAGATATGTGCTGGCTTTAATGACCCACATTCTCAAAAGAATAATACAAGCAGGTGGGAAGTTTGCAATTGTTCATTCTTAATGAATCTTAATTAAAAATAAAGTTAGTGTAGGCACAATCTACAGATCAGAAGACCAGTGAGGATGGACGCCTCCTCAGATTCCCAGACTTCCCTGTCTTCTAAGTTTTCTTTCTTTGCCTTTTCTTTCCTTTGTGTACCGTTTCTCTTTGGTGCTTTCATCTCTGAGTTCATTGTCTGAAGACTTCACAGTTTTTAATTCAGTTTTCATTGTTAGGATCAAAATGACTTTTTGCACATAATTTTGAGTTTAGCTTCAATTTATGTTAGACCAACATTTTTAAATTAAAGGGTTGCAAAATTTTCATTTCTTTACTGTCCTATAAATGCATTGCAATTTTACTGTCACGTATTTACAAGGCTCATGTAACGTGACCACTAAAATGCCACCATATAGAAATCCCGCGACTGTGGGAGCATGGTAGAGATTTGGAGCTAAATGCTGGATACAGAGAGGCTTCTGGACTTACAAAGACCAGCTGAGGATCAGTGAGGAGACCCGTGCCAGCAGATGAAGTGGAGGACAGATCACCCTCCCAGCCACAGCCAGAGGAAGCTGGACTTTAGCTTTGGCCCACGAGGACGCGTGCCTGGTGTGGAGGAGCCTGGGCACTCAGAAGAAGCCACTGCTGCCCCTCCACTTGGGCCTGGCATGTGTGGAGCACTGCGAGTAATTTACTAGGAATGTTGGAAGTTACTAAGGTGGCCAGTGACCTTTTCCAGCATGCACATTCTGAATGGATAGGCGCTAGCCCAGGGGCAGTACAGCTGCCACGGTCTCAGCTTGGGAGAAGGGCTGGCATTAAAACAAGTGATGTGGGAGGTCATGTACCCAACAGCGTGGTCCTCAGAGTCTCCGGGATGTTGGTCCAGAGTGAACCAACTTTCCCTGTCTGTAGCCATTATATATAGCAATTAGAAAAGGGTCCAGTGTTTTACTTTCAGGAAAAATGTATCTGAGTCTGCAGGGATGTGCTGTGACATGAAAAACATTGAAATCTCGAGGCTCTCAAGATGTCCCGCAAAGGGATCCCTTAACAGGCAGGTGCCCTGGGTTTCGAAACTTTTATAGAAAGTTCAAAAAAACTAATTCTGGCCCATAGACTTTGAGTCTGAAAAAGAGATTATGGCTTGAAAGTCACCTTAATAAGATACTATTAAGTGTTGACTCTAAATGGGGCCAGGTGTGATAGGACACTGGAAGGCTGAAGCAGGAGGATGGCAAGTCTCAGCTCAGCCCGGGCAACCTAGTGACATGGCCAGACTCTGCCTCAAAAAAAGAAAAGAAAAGAAAAAAGAGGAAAGCAATATAGCTCAGTGTGAGGCCCTGGCTTCAATCCCCAGCATTGTACATAATAATAGTAATAATTCATAGATCTCACTGGGATACTATAAATAACAATAATGATCATTTAACAAATCTAACTGGGACAAGTGTAAAATTTTGCATCTGGGTTAAAATTCCACACTTAGCACAAATACGGAAGTTTAAAAGAAAGAAATCTGTGACTTGATTGGTACAATCACTGTACGAGTCAACAGGGTTGTGCTGGAACTGAGAGTCTTTGGAGGAAGTGGGAGAGGACCCGGGGAGGGAAGAGACCTTCTGTGCCCTACGTGAGAAACCACCTCAACCCTGGGGGCCCCTTTACACGGGGACCTGAGACACCAGTATCCCCAGGATGTCACCGGGACAGCCAGGCATTGAACAGGGGCCGTGGTGGGGCTGAGGTCTGGCAGCCTGGGCTCTGGGGAAGGAGACGGAGGGGTGCAGCAACTGTCCTAGAGGCTTGGGCTTGGACATCTATTCTGGAAGTTCACAGGGCGCCTCCAAGGCAGTGCTGGAAAGGCAGTGGGGCCAGAACTGATGCCTGGAAAAGTGTGGCTTGCAGAAGAGAAGAAGTTAAGGGTGTGGCACCCTTAAAAGACATGGCAGCAAGAAGACGTAAGCAAAGGGGGAAATTAAGGCAAAAGTGTTGACACTGAGCATTTAATACATTTAATTATAGATCAAGACCAAAGCAGGAGTGGGCAAATGAGTCTGTAAAGATTCTATACATGGACAGAAGAGAAAGAATGCAATTTAAAGTGGCAGAAGAAGGAAGAGAGAACATAATTGCCAGAGATATAATATGCGGGAGTCAGAGGATACTGCTTACAAATTATAGACCAGATAATAAAACATAAAATTGGAAAAAAAAGAGAATCGAAGGCTATATATAAGACACTTTCACACGACAAGAACAAAATGCATATCTTGAAAGCCAAGTGGAAAAGAAAAAGCAAGCAAGACACCAAATAGAAGGATTAAAACTATTCATCTTTAAAGACAAAATACCATCACACCCAACTATATAAAGCAAATATTAACAGACATGAAAAATCAAATAAGGACTAATACAATTGTAATGGGGGACCTCCACACCCCACTGTCACAAATAGATCAACTAGATTAAAATTCAACAAAGAAATATAAGAAATGAACCAAATTTTTTTATCAAATAGCCTTAGTAGATATCTACAGAGGGTTCCACCACAACATCAGAATACACGTTCTTCTCAGCTGCACACAGGATGTTCTCCAAGGCAGAGCACATATCATCTCACAGAGCATGCTGAAGGAAATGCGAAGGAATTGAGATTATTCCATGTCTATTGTCAAACCATAGTGCAAGGAGATTGGAAATCAATGGCAAATGAAACCACAAGATTTTATAAACACACAGTAATTAAATAACACCCTCCTAAACAACCAATGGGTCACAGATGAAATTAAAGAAAAAATTATACTGTTCATACAATTAAACAGCAACACCAATACAACATA